GGGACCGTGAGTGCGGGAGCCACGGCGGGCTGGCCCCCACCCGCCTCTTTCCCCCTCATTCCTCCCCACTCCGCCTCTTTTTCCCCCTTTCCCCCCCTCCTTTTCCCCTCCCTTTTCTTCTCCTCCCCCTTCCCCTCCCTGTTGCACCCCGTTCCTCTCCCGTTTTCCCCCCGACCTTTCCCCCGCGGCCGCATTCCCGTGGGATTCAGGGGGTTGGAAGTGGGCGCTGTGGGACTCCAGCAGCAGCTGCCGGGGAATCCTCTCCCCGTTCCCCTCGGGCTGGGGCTTTTTGCCTCTTTCCAGGCGGTTGTGCCTCTGGAAGGGGCAGAATTCCTGGGAAATGGCTGGGATGGGAATTGGAGCTTGTGCAGCAGCACGAGAGGGAGCTAAGGAAATTGGTTTTCTCGGGGTAAAAGATGTTTTGGTGTGGCTTAATGTGGTTTATGGAGCATTGGGTGAGACACGGCTGAATTCCCGGGACACGGGAAGAAATCCCTGGGGCTCCGGTAGGAACAGGATGGGGCTCAGCAGGTTCCCTGGAGCAGCTTTAAATCCGCAGAAACCCGGTTTGTTCTGGGGTCGGACATTCGGGAACGGCGCCCCAAAACTTCCGCCCCTTTACAAAGCTGGGAGCAGCTTCTGACATTCCCGGGAAATGGGGGGCTGGAAAAGGGCCTTGGGAATGAGCAGGCCCCGCGTCCTTCCGGAGGAGCTGCCACCATCCGTGGGGTTTTCAGTGTGTGGACGCGGTTATCCATCACGGAGGAGCTCGGGATCGTAGGGGGGAAGGCGGTTCCTTTAGGGTTGTCCCGTTACCCTGTGCTCAGTCTTGCCTTCCTTTTATTGCCTGCTGCCTCGTTCCTTAATTCCAGGTGCCTTCGCTGGGATCCAGCTCCGCTCCATCCCTGTCCCAGGGTCTCCTGGCAAATCAGGCTTGGCATTTAAGCTCTCGTGGGCTTCCAGCTCGGTGGCTGCGCCGAGGAGCCGGCGATGGCTCCGAGGTGGGCGTGAAGGACCTGGGAGCTCCTCAGATCCCCACGGAGCGGCGGCGGCGGCGTTCCCGGGAAGATGGAGAGCAATCCGGTGCTGCTGGAATCCAAGTCGTCCCCGCTGAACCTCCTGCACGAGATGCAGCAGCTGCGGCTGCTGGGCCACCTGTGCGACGTGACGGTCAGCGTGGAGTACCAGGGCGTGCGCGCCGAGTTCCCGGCGCACAAGGCCGTGCTGGCCGCCACCAGCAAGTTCTTCAAGGAGGTGTTCCTCAACGAGAAGGCGGCCGATGGCCCCCGCAGCAACGTCTTCCTCAACGAGGTGCAGGTGGCCGACTTCGCCTCCTTCCTGGAGTTCGTCTACACGGCGCGCGTGGAGGTGGAGGAGGACAGGGTGCAGCGCATGCTGGAGATCGCCGAGAAGCTCAAGTGCCTGGACCTCTCCGAGACCTGCTTCCAGCTGAAGAGGCAGATGCTGGAGTCCGTGCTGCTGGAGCTGCAGAGCTTCTCGGAGTCGCAGAGCCCCGAGGGGGAGAGCGCGGCCGAGGCCAAGCGGGAGCCCCCGGAGCCGCCGGCGGCCGAGGGGCCGGCCGCCAAAGCCAAGGAGAAGGCGGACAGAAAGAAGGAAGCGCTGAAGGCTCCGTACGCCAAGATCCGCAGGGCGAGCGGGCGGCTGGCCGGCAGGAAGGTGTTCGTGGA